GTAGGAAAAATAATCCATATATTAATTGTTCTTAACCAATTTTTTATGGGAGTTACTTTTATCTAATTGAATATAAATGTCGAAAAGTAAAAATTATTAATTTGGGAAGAATCAATATAAATGTCAAAAAAATAGAAATGAGCCGGAAAAAAAAAACGCATGGGAAGAATCAATATAAATGTCAAAAAGTGGAAATTATTAATTTGGGAAAAATCAATATAAAATTGGTTTTAGGCAATTTAATTAACTTAAATAAAATAAGAGGTAAGTGGAGTACTTGGAGTATTAGGATTATTAAAAAATTGTAAAAGAAAGATAGTGGAATTAATTGTTTATTGAAAAGTAATGAATGTGAGAGGAGAGATATAATAATAAAAAAAAAAAAAAAAAAGTTGTTGTGGGTTTGAGTGGGGACCATGAATGAAGAGAGATAGATAATATTTTAATGTAGCTTTTTGTCAAAAATAGAAGTATAACACTTAAAACACAGCCGAATTTGGTAAGTGTAACACTTACAAAAAAAAACATGGAGGGAGTAGCAAGTTCAAACAATTCGCATGGATTGAAAAGCTAGTGTTGATTATAAAGCAAGAAATTTGTTATTAATCAAGATTTTATAACACGGCAATGGAATTTCGAAAAGTGAGAAAAATAATCAAAAGAGTTCACATTTTTTTGGAATATTATATTTTTAGGATGCGTATATTTTCCTAAATCAGCTTAGTTTCTCTATAAACTATTGCTCTTGAACTTAGCATAAAAGGTTAACACTTACGTTAGGATGCAATCTAAATTTTTCCAAAAAAAATAATGTAAGATTATTATAGGGTAATACGGGTACGGGTATTTTTTTTACGAGATAGGTAAGTCAAATGAGAAGTAATGGTTATAATTAATAAAGTTATTACAAAAAATATTGGTGATTCAGCAAAATCAATTACAATCCATAATTACATCTTAAGTTCCAATCAATATAAAAAATAAATTAAAAAAAAAAAAAAAAAAAAAATCGCTACTTTTTGCCTAAAAATAATAGAGAATCGTGTTAATCATCAAAAGAATATGTAAATAATCTAGAATCAGACTTTTTTATAACACCTCATATTTCCTTAAAAAAAACTGACACGCCTCATATTTCCTTAAAAATAATGATTAAAATAAATATGAAAAAAAAAAATGTGTTTTGGCAAAAAATAAGAATGCATGTGTTAGTAAAGGTAAATAAAAGATCATACAAAATCAGTATAATCCAATTATAGAAAGAAAAGTTTCCTTAAAATTTTTTTTTTTTAAATTATGGAAAGAAAAAATGAGACTAACAGCTAGATAATTTCAAATAAGGAAACTCAAAATTATAGAAAGAAAAAATGAGACAAACAATCATCTTATTATTACAACTATAAATATACGATGTAATAACAAAACATCTAAAAACATAACATCATCGTAACACTCTCTAATTCAAGTAGTAATTGTTTTCATCCACTCTCAAATTTGAATTCCAAGTTCCTTAATCACTACCAATGTCGAACCGTCCAGAATTAACTTGTTCGAATAACAATCCCGACATCGATGCTAGACCACGAGAGAATGCACCAAGATCGCCGGCACCAATGATTATGACTAGCAATGTAGCAATAGAAGCAACGGATTATACTAAAAAGTGTCCAAGGGAGGCTGAACCGGTTACACAAAATCGCGCTACTTTTACCAGCAAGTGCTTAGAAAATTACAAGAATGTTGATTTTGATTCATTTGGGGGATTTTTGAAGTCTTGTTTGATGTGTCAGAGGATGATGGGTGACAATGTTAATGTTTACATGTACAGGTATTTTTTCTAAAACCTTTTGTACGTTAACAATCTTAGCATGCATACCCACATCATCTACTATCTCCGATTCTTATTACTCCGTATTATTTGCTCGTATTGGTGAAAAGTTTATGTAAATTGGAAAAGAGTATGCTAGGATTTATTCGCTAAAATTTATCAGTATGATTGTTATTTGCACGCAGGAACTTAGAGGCATTCTGCAGCAACTACTGTCGTAATAAGTACATTGAAGCCGAGGAGAAAGAAGAGATATATACTTTGGATTCTACAGTCAGTGAAGCATTCGTGAATAGCATTGCAAAGTGATTAGAAAGTAATTGAAGTTGAACAACAAGCTTAATTAGAATATAAGTACATCTATTTTGTAGCTATTCACTAGATTTATGGTTATAGCTAGCTACTCTAACGATTTATAATATTCAAAACATAGCAAGCATTATTAATTAGCACCTAGAAATTATGATGTAGATTTCAATTCTATGTCGTTTGTACGTGATGCTTAATTTTTGTTTCAGAGAAGATTTAAGCATAACATTTAACATTTATTAATCTTTGTTCGGTTGCTTTGATTTTTATTATGTCTGATGCAGTATTACTAGTTAGTAGAATTTACACAAATCTGTAAAATTCTCCAAAACCTATATTATTAGGAGTCAGGACAGAGTCAGACACAATTGTACTAGTAAGTTACTTGAGCATGGATGGATAGCGAAAATAAGATATATATATTGATGATACATGTTGGTGCATATTTTGTGACATTAGTGGCAATTTATACATTGATGAATGTTTAAGTACTTGGTAAAAAGTTTATGTTTCCTGCTGCTTTATTTCATAAGAATTTATTGAATCAATTAAGATTCGAGTATTGGGACACTGAAGCACCGAAATCTTCAGCTTTCATCTTCTTTTTCTTTATGTATGGTACGTTGCAGACAATTTCAATTATAGGTCTGGTCTAACAGTTCTAAAATACTATATTTATATATACTTTAAATACATCAAAATCCTAGCCTTGATATGATGTCCAACCTGGTTTATGATCCTGATCTCCTGTTATTTATATCTATTGACTTCGATTATTCCCCTCATCATCATGTATACCGACTGTAGCTGCAAGAATTCGATCTTTAAGTTCCAAATAGAAAATGAAGAGGATAATAGGAAAAAAAAAAAGGGAGTAATTTGCTTGTATTCACAGCTCCAAAGAAATCAAAGCGCATAGGCAATTTTCGAATACTACAAGGTGGGTATGTTGTCAGTTTTCAATCACCCTATCTGAGATTATAGGCAGGATTTTGTAAAACTGTATGTTTCAATTGTTTTACGAACAAAAACTTGATTAGTATAAGCTATTCTATGGGTTGTGGTACAGTTAATAACAACAGGACTTGCATGTACTATTGTTATCTCAGATCAAAATTAACATCACTGCATTCTTGTACCAACTTTGTATAGTTCGTTGATTCTTTTAATCCAAAATCTTACTCATATGATGTTAAAATGTAAGATTTTCCTTGGGGCTTCATTTATTTTACATAACTTTTAATGTCAAGAAATGTTTAGATCTTTTGAATCTCTGTTCTCTCTTAAATCATATACCTAAATTGAAACCTTTCCTACAAAGTAAGGCTGCAATTTCACAATTTGAGACAGATGAGTTACGAGAGAGATTACTGAAGAGACTAGTCAGACTACTATTGTTGGATTTAATGCTAAGGCATTGTAAAAAGCTTAATTTACTTTCTCATTCTTCTATTTTGAGGGAAGAAAGTGTTTTGTACCATGTTGGTGGGATATGAAATTCTTCATATTTGCTTTGAAGTGCTTCTCCTTGTGGTTTGGGCTTGAAGGGGCTAGACAGTCGTACTGCTGTTTGGCGGATTCGTGTTCGTGACACCTCGTAACTTCTAATACAGCGCTTGCCTTGTCTAAACTAGACATCGATGAAAATCATGTGGTACTTAATAAACTTTTTTTGGTTTAAAAATGTAGAAATTAGCGGATATGGATAACCAAGTAGGTGGTTGTGGAGATGAATTTAAGCTTCTACCCGTTGAGACAAGGATGGATGCAAGTAATGTATATGCCATGAGTGGTGGGGCGGGGAGATGGGTATAAGATTTCTTAAGCGGGGATGGATGTGAAGGGATGGATGTGAAGGTATCGTCCTCCTCCTACCCACCCCATTGACATCTCTAGATTCAAAAATTTGTTGCCACCTTACTAAACAAAAAAAACATAAATGGAATTAAAAGTTATGGTCAAATTTTGGATTAATTAGTCAAAATGCTGAAGATTCATCCAAATTCATGATCCATCTCAAATTTCACTATCTTTATTGTTTAGTGTCTGGTAAGAGACTTGATTACAGTGGTTTAGTCTCCGTCTTCAAAAGCAAAGGTCCCCGCTTCAACATTTGCAACTTCAAAACCTTACATTTTAGGGGAATCTATAACTGGTATACTCCAATGTTTTTTTATTATGCACCTTAATCTCTTAGATTTTTAATCCTTAATCCTTTAATTTTGTACCTTATCCTTATTTTGTACCTTAATTACACATGCACTTCACAATACAAACAACTTCTCTTTTAAGTATCCAGCACACATAATATGCATCATCAAATGTTGTATATGCGTAAAGAACAAAATGACAAGGCTCTCATGTCAGGTGACTTGTAATCTTAAACTTTTGGTTGAAATGTTCCTTTAAAAGTTACCATTGACCTTAAATAAACCGATGATAACAGGAAGAATATGAAAGATGAACCGTCTCATAAGATATAGTCTGATACATAAGCCAAAAGTTAAGAATAATACGGAGTAGTAAATCTTTGACTCCAATAAAAATGCACAAATCAAAAAATAAAATTTCATGATGTAAAAAGAATGTTTGATATTAAATACTGTAAAAATAGAGAAATAATGAGTTTCCAGATTTTGGTGCCAAAACCTGTAACGTTGTCTAGTGCATTTCAAGGGTGTTGGGGACACCTCGCGGGAAAAGCAAAAGGCAAAGCAAACACATACAGAAGCAGTGGACTTTGGGGGATAATCAAGAGAATACCCAACCTTTTTCAGGGAAATGATTAGTTCCCATATTATATTATATACTTGTAAAAATAATTAAAATAAAACCTCTTAATATCTCACTATCATTAAACTTGTACGATAAATACTATTTTTCTATTGATTTTCCATCACTTTCACAACGAATGCCTAATCAAATCACTAAGCTCCTATCTCTTTTTTCCTAAAATCAAAAAAATAAAAATAAAATGGGGAACCCCACTAAATCATAGTCAGCAAAATTAAACTTCACCCATAAAAAAAAAGTTACAAAAAATAAAGGAATACCCTAAATTGATTAGCTTGGTCAGCAAAAAGTTTTTCGTGTTGAATCTTGTTAGCTTCGTTTTGAGATGAATATTAACCCCATACTTATGTACAATTTCGAGTCGTGGTCTTGTTTACAAAATTGCAGAATTTACACCTGTAATAAGACAGTCGAAAGAGAGATTAGTTAGCAAACACTAATACTACAAGATTAGATGAAAAGAGTAGATAAGCCAAAAAGAGAAGCACAAGAGGCACCTTTTTCGAACAATGAGCAAGGAAATGTCTGCATCATGTCAAGGAATTGAGTTTGTTCAAAGCTATTCCCGCCTGCAAAAATGGGGACCATCATCTTAGTTGTTAATGGAAATGTGCAACAAATTCTGAATATTTGTCTCTCTAAAAAAAATAGCATGCCCTAGAACAGTTTTCCTTTTCATTCCTCTCTTATGTTAAACAATTTCAGGTTTAGATCTTGGGTTTGGTCACGTTGTGATCTTAGTCACGGAACCACTTTAGCCATCAACAAACGGATGGCTTGTGGTTGCCGCAACCTAATAGTACTATATTTGTTTTAAGGACCATCGTGATAGGGTGGTTTGTGGTAGCTAGAGAATGAGGTTCGGTTTCTAGTAGAATTTTGTTTTACGCGGTAACTTAACATGCTTTAATTAATTACACAACTATAACATAAAATAGAGGAAAGAGACTTCAAATATAGTACAAGGAATCTTACCAGTAAAATATTCTGAATGGCAGAGATGGAGTAGCATCTGAGCTTGATCATTCTGTCAGTAAGATAACACAGTTAATAAGGTAAGAACATTAACAGGCATCTCTTGTCTCGGAAGTAAGGTAGATGCAGAAGATTCAGAAAAGAAATAAAAGAGTGAATACTTGATGATGTCTTTTGCTCAACCCAATTCCTCAGAAAAAGCAAAGTTCGGTATAGCCATGTGAGTAAGGCAAGAGATCAGCAACTTCTACTCTGGAACTAGCACAACTCATGCTTCTCCTTAATCTGGCTGGGATCGATTCCACCTCGGCCCAAAATATACTGTAAACTGGTCTATGATCTGAAAACCTTGACTCAGCGCGGACATATGACAACTGGTGCAGGCCATTTCCGTACCACAATATTCGATCACACCTTCAAAAATATACATTTTCCAAAGCAGATTGTAAACTCATAGCTTTTTGTTAACTTTTTTTTCGATTTGGAATAAGTGTGCTCGGATATCCCTGAATTTTTTTAAGGGATTAGACTTACCAAGCTGGTGTTCTTCTTTTCTCCTTAGGATGCAGATCATCCCCTGCATATCTGTCTGAGTTGTGAGAATACTTGTAAGTTGGTGGGAAATATATACTTCCCTCTTTCCACTCGTTAAATACACGGCCTCTTCTTTGTTCTGTACGCAACTGCAAATGAAACCAAATTATAGTTGTGATAGGATGTTAACAGCTTATCTCATTAAAACATTAAGAGGCATTCAGGAAAGTACTAAACCTGGTCTCTCTCTAGCAATGCCCTCCAGTTTTGCATCTCAACGAGTGCCCTGACTGAACGATATGGGAGTGTTAACCGATAATTTAGATCCCCAAGCCAGATGACTCGACTGCATTTAATTGTAGGTCACAGAAAATTGGAGAAATTTTGTTAATTATTTGATAGATAAAAATGTCGACTAAATGAACATAATCTATGTTTGTTACAAAGGATCTTACTCATGCTCAACAATTGTTTCAGGGGACTTCTCATCACCCACATTACTGACGCGTGGAAACCTTGTCTTCCTCAGGATCTCCATGACATCAGCATTTCTGCGCAGCTCATCGCCTTCTTTCTGTCCTGAGGTTAAATGGCTGCAGACAAAACAGAAGCTGGTCTGATGCAACAACATGCTGACTGAAATGGAACCCTACAGAAGAAGATCAGGATATCACATTTCTATAATTTCTCTCCTTAACCAATTTTACAGATTTTCAACAAGAATTAACAAGTGTGTGCACTAGCACTTAGTAAAAAGTTTAGGTACCTTATTTCCAAGGTAACCCATTAATCCTCTACCAACACAAGAGACTTTCACATTTCGTACGTTCTCTCTCAAATCTTTCCTGACCCATACTGTGAGGAATACCCCAACCATTTGCTTGCTTACCACCAAGCAGTATCGTGATTGCTTAGGCTGTCGGTAGCAGATGTCACTATGGGTAGATCCACTACATGACATCGGTGAAAATAAAACTGTGCTTGGTGAATCACCCGGACCATAATCGTCATCAGATGAACCCCATTTAGAGAAATCACTTGGCCTGAAATCACTAGGCCTATAATCACTTGCCCTGTAATCACTGGGCCTATAGTCACTAGGCCTATAATCACTTGCCCTATAATCACTTGCCCTGTAATCACTAGGCCTATAATCACTTGGTCTGCAATCACTTGCCCTGTAATCACTCGGTCTGCAATTGCTTGGTCTATAATCACTCGGTCTGTTACCAAATATAGCCCGGTCACAAACACTATAGCGCCTTTCAAGTCGAGGCTGTGATGTGGAAGGGTCATTGTCCATCTTCCTACTTCCTGTGGCTTGAAATGATCGGCGAGGGAGGAAAGATGCAGCTCTATGGCGACCGGACCCTTCAAAATCAGCATTTATTTCAACAACTGGATTAGGAACAGGGGACGGAGTATGGTTACCACTGCTTCCACAAATCCCAGGACGGTTATTTAATGTCTTTCTTATTAGGTTGACCCATTTTTTAGCGGGACCATTATCTTCAGCTCCTAATATGTTGCTTGGATTTAAGGGCACAATTTCCTGAAATCTGAAAGATAAACTATTTAAACTTCTAGCATCAATTATACATCAGCAACAAGAACATCAAATTCACCAAATCTCGCAGCTGAAATGCAACATGATCACATACCCAAGAACATAAATATCAGCAGCAGGTGAGGCGTGAAGCCAATCATCAAGGTTCATATTACTTGGTGGTGATTTCCCACCCACATTCCATGTTGCTACAAAAACACTGAACCCAATTAAACTGTATAAGTATATATTCTTTCAAAGGCCAATGGATTCGGGTTTAAAACACAAATAGATTAAACTACCTATGATTCTGGACATCTATGATCCTAGGATGCTCAAGATATTCCTTGCCAAGTCGCATCCGATCCGAGTTGATGTTAAATTTCTCTGCACCACCAATAATGGGAAACAAGAATGACAATTTGTCACTAAATATAAAAAGCATCCATGAAATTACACCACTACTTTAGTGATCAAAATTCATCACATACTTGTAAATTATACTTAATCTATAATTTTACCTGTTTTGCTTTTCTTGATATTACATGGCTCCCTCTCTGAGAAGCTACTTCTCCACTCCACTTCACCTCCTGAATTACCATAATTCAAACTTTAAATTATAACCACATCTTCAACAAATCACATTTAACAGTAATATACTCAAATGCTTTCTAATCAATAAACATAAACCGTCCAAATTAAATAAAAACACAATAGTTATAAGTCTTATAACAAGACAAAATAGACAATTTAGAAAATTTTATTTTCAGCCAATCATTAATTTTTAAGCATACTTGGTACTATTACCAAATAAGACTACCAACCCTTCTCCCATAAAAGAACAAAAAAAACAAAATTTAGCCTCTAACTAACTGGTTAAGGTAGACAATACAAAAATACTCCCTCCATCCGGAATTAATTGTCACATTTATAACTCGATTTGAACCTGTAATATAACAACTAAATCTGGACCGATTTAAATTTGAGTCTAAATTCAAAATTCCGCAAAATGCAAAACAATAAAATTGGAAATTATGGAAATTAAGAAGCTAACTATCATACCTCCATAAGCAAGATCATCAACAACAGGAAATTCCTCGCATTTAGTCTTGATATTGAACCATTTTTTAATCAGAGACTTCGACCACCAAAGCTTCAACCCCACAAAACAAAAATTAATTAATTTAAATAACCAACACTATATCATCTCAAAAATACAGTTAAAAAAATAGCTAAATTTAGCAAAAAAAAAAAAAAATGGTGGAAAATTTTAAAAACCTTGCTTTTCTTGGGTTTTTCATCTCTCATTGTATCACCAATTCTTCATACAGCTCTTTGTTCAACCTACTCCCCCCTCCCACCTCACTCTTTCTTCAAAAATACTCTCTAATTATGTTAATTATTACCTTAATTATTTTGTCTCTCTCATATAATATAATGTACAAAATTAATACAGTACCCAGTTTACAAAAATAAAAACCCACTAAAATTCCCACAAGTGGTAACCAAATAAATGGGAAAAAAAATTATTTTTTCTGTGTAAATTTTTTTCTAGAAAGAGAAATTAGAGAGAGAAAACAAAGAATGAACACACTTTAATGCGTGAGGAAGTAATAAGATTGATGGATTTTAACTTAAAAACAAGACAATGCCGCAATAAAAAATTTCAGTACTACTTCTACTAGTAGAAATTCTAGTGAGAGAAACTTTAGAGAGAGAAAATAACAAACCAAAGAAAAAAGGAAAGCTCGTTTTTATTGGTAAAATCAAAGCATTTTGAACAGAATAAAGTGCAATTGGATGAAGAAGAATGAGATTTTCCATTCTTTATTTTTTTTAATTTTTTATTTATTTATTTATTTTTGTGGGCCATAATAGAATTGAATCCTAAACACAACGAGAAGAGGGGGGGCAAGGGCCCAAGGAATGATAAAGAAAGGAGTAATGTCGTTTTGCTTTAACTCTTTAAAGCAAAACGACCAGGTCAGCGAAAACAGAGCTGCCCGTCTGCCCGAATGGTCAAGCAAAGCTGCCCGTAAGTAAGATTCTGTTAAGAATGAATGTTGTTGTTTTTGGCAAACAATTAGTCTTACTACCAACAAAGTTAAAGTTAAGTGGTGGGATATGTAAGAAATATTGCTCTCTTAAAGCAAAAGTGAGTTTTTTTTTTATTATTTATATTTGATTTCATATATTAATGTAATATAGTGATTTCATTTTTATATTTTCTTTACATATATGAAGATTAGTTTGTTTGCTTTTTCTCTCTTTAGTTGCAATCTTACTTTCTTGGGTTGTGTTTAGAAGGAATGTTTTACTGAATTGGAATGTGTATGGAGAAAGGGATTCTCTCATGGGTAATTGTTTGATTATATTAATTTTTGGATTATGTAATTTAGGGTTTTTGTTTTTCAATTCAATATCATATTTTTTTAAGAGGAATCAAATGGTACATTTAGTATTAGGTAAGCATGAAAAGGTGTGGAAATTGGATTTAGCTAAACTAATGATTGATTGCTATTTTTCTTTGTGAATGTGAAAGCCTTTTTTACATAGCTTAACATTAATTTATTTATTTTAACTCATAGTAGAGTTATGTACAAAGGTAACATTATAACTTGTATAATGAACTATATGACCTTTATTAATTGTTTATAATATTTCTAAAATAATAATTGACTCTTTAATTGATATCTTGGTCATAAGACAAATGTGATGAAATTTAAAATCTTAAAAATTCTCCCTTGATGAAATTATGATCGTTGTACATAGGGGTGTGCAAATATGGACCTGGACCGAAAAATCGACCGAAACTGCACCGGAATTGGGATGTTTCTACTATGGTCATCTTAAATATGACTATAGCTATACTTAAATGTCATTGGTTGATTTTAGATATATTTTTTTAGCTTGGTCAAACCTTATTTAAGGGTAATTAAGGTATTTAGCTTCTTTAATTCATTTTCTTATTTTTTAAATTTCAATTAATGAATTTCTGAAAATATTATTTTAATTTTCGAATTTATTTTATCTAAATCTAATTTTAATAAAATCTAAAATTAAGATTAAAAAAAATTAAAAATCGAAAATTTGTTCTTCGTCGTTCTTCGATGTTCATCAATGTTCTTCCTAGTTCATCCAAATTTTTTATCAAATAATGAAATCAACCACGATTTTATGTTCCATGTACCTTAATTTCAATTGCGCATCAATGGAGACCGAAAAAATAGGCCAAATTTATACAGCCATTGCGCAACTTTATGGTACATAACTACATATAATCGGTTTCTTTCATCCTATGGGTGGGTTCTTAATCTTTGAATAACATAATTTAATTGTACAAAGTCAAGCATCGGGTTTGAAAATAGCGATTTAAGGTATAGGAAATCAAAAATTTTAAGTTTTTCGGTAATATATGTTCGTCATGAAAATCTGAGAAGAAACCGTAACACATTTTTTTTCACAACTTTTTTTGATCCAAAAAATCGAAGGTCGAATTATAAACACTGTTTGTGATATAGGTATTGACCCAAATACAAATATGACATAACCTTAACTGAATTTTATTAATTATAAAAAGATAATGACCAAACGTAACATTGGACATTTCCAATTATTATAATAGAATTTACTTCGATGGCAATTTATAATACGATGAACCTGGACAATGATTCGAACTAATCAATAAACAAAAATTATGGAATCGATATATTTTAAGTATAGAAATTGCATTTTAATATTGGAAATCACTTATTCTAATCATGATCTTTTCCTAAATTTCTATCATTTTAAATTTTGAATAGATTATATATTGGAAATCAGTTATTCTAAATAGGATATTTTCCTAATTTATTATCTTTAAAATGTAAATGATTTTTATCTTTTAAATTTTAAAAAATCTTTACAAACAATAGCGTTAGGGTTCTTTGCTTCACATCTTTATCATCCTCGCATACTCTTTTCAATCGAATTTGTTTCACAGTTTGCACAATTATTTTTGGTATTCAAATCATGGTTAAAAAAGCAAAACCCAATGTAAGTATACTCGAAATTGAATTTGTTTTTTTGCTATGTATTTTTACCAATATTAAAAATTAAATTCAATTTTATTTTTATGCGTTTGTAATTGGTTCAAAGATGAACAACTTTTTATCTTTTTGAAGGAATTATTTATAAACATTGATTTCGTCTATATAGGGCTTATGTTTTAAGCAAATTAAATTTATTCATAATGGTTTAATTCCATTTTTAAATCACTCATGATCTCTAGAATTGATTTATGGTTGCAGAAAAGTAAGGCAATGGAGAAAAAAATAATTGATATTCACTGCAAACTGTCAAACATAGAGTCGACATTGGCTAAACTCGTTGCCGATGTTGCTGCTAGTATATCACAGAGTTCAACCAAGGTTCCAGAATCAACTAATTGTAGGACTGACGGAGAAGCAGACACTGTTGGTAAAACTCCGCATGGAAATCGTTCGTATTCTCCTTTCCTAAGCCCTGATGGCGAGTTGATGGTTAGCTCACATGTCTCGACAACTAAGCGAAAGCTACAGGTTAATGACACTGGCGACGAAGGCGAAGAAGTAGAGAAAAAACACTTTGTTGGCTTCGATGTTGACTCATTCGACATTAGAAATATCCGTTTTACTAAGCTTCAATTTCCACCGGGTTTGGAAACACTCCAAGATCTTAAAGAGGATGAAGAAAAAACAAAGGAGAAAAAGACAAAAGATAAAGTTAAAAGCCCTGATATCAAAGTGTTGACTCCAAAGTCAAAAGAAATAACACCACTGATAACGGTGAACCACAAACGAATTCGGAGAAGAGGCCCACTACTAGAAATAGGCCTATTTCCGACGGATTGGTTCCGACGGACACCTAATTCCGTCGGAAACATAGGAAATTCCGACGGATTTTTATTCCGTCGGACATTTACGACGGATTTTGAAGATCCGTCGGAGATTTCCGACGGAATATTCCGTCGGAATATATTTAAAAAAAATTCTACAAACCCTAAAATCAGCCCTCCTTTTATTTCACCCCTCAGCCGTTTTTTTTTCACTTCCCCCTTTTCATTCTCTCTCCTTTCTTTTGTTGCGCTGTTTCTCTCTCATTTATGGCTTCCACTCCTTCGTAGTTCCTCTCCGCCGTCGTCTCACGCCGCTGCAACCTCTATAAATCCCCTTGCCGCGCCAATTATCTTACGTTTTTTATTTTATACGGTTTTTAAGGTTAAATTCGACAGTCAAAACTCTAGATCTAGAGTTTTTATTGTCGAATTAAGCCTTATTAACCTAAATTTGGTGAAATTCGAAGCTAATTTCATAATTAAAGGTATGCTTTGATGTTTTTAATGTCCTTTCTTTTGTTTTAAAGTTTTTTTTTGTTTTTTTTAAATTTGGTGGCTCGTTGGTGGTTTTAGGGTCAGTTTAAGGGTGGGTCGAGGGAGGTGGTGGTGGGTGTCGCCAGGGCTAAGGGTTAGGGTTAGGGTTTGGGTGGTGAGCGAAGGTTGGTTTAGTTAGGGTTCGTTCTGGTCTGGGAGGGGTTTGGGTGTTTTAGGTCGGGTTTGGGTTTGGGGGGTTTGGGTCTGAATTTAGGGGGTTTGGGTCTGGGTTAGGTCGGGTCTGGGTTAGGGGTTTGGGTCTGGGTTAGGTCGGGGCTGGGTTAGGGGTTTGGGTCTGGGTTAGGTTTGGTTTTGTGGTGTGGGTTAATTTAGTGGGTGGCGGTGGTGGTGGTCTGTAGTGGCGGTGTTGGTCTGATGTGGTTGGTGGTGGCAGTGGGTTAGGGTTTGAGAAGGTTGGTTTGGTTGGGGTTTACAGGGCCTTTTTGGGTGGTTGGAGGTGGTGATACGCCGTTGACAGGGTAAAGTCGTATCCCCTAATAAAAAATAATTACCTAAATCACTAACTAAAGTAGATAGGGAAGTAGGGTCGATCTCCACAGGGAAACAAGTCTTTTTACTCCTAATTAAATATTATAATAAATTATTTAAGTAACCAATATTAAAGTTGAATAAGAAACTAAACTAAAAAGAGTAGGGAAAGGGAGAAAATAATATATAAAGGATCTAGGGCATAGGTTCACCAATAAATAATACTCCGGGGTAAAATAGGGTAATCAATCATTGACATTGCATAGATAACAAGATTAACAGGCTCTCGCAATTTATTAATCAACATAGATCTAACAGGCTCTCGCAATATAGATCTAAGTTCTTATTGAAAATAGCCTTTAATATCAAATTAACATCTGCTCGATTCATCAATTTAATATTGCTATACTTTTACAAGCCGCAATTGTAAAACGTTAAAAAAGTTCAATAAGAAATTATCATGCAATACCAACAATCAATAATAGTCAATCATCAATGCATCAATTAACCGGATTGTAAAGGGCTTTCGCTACGTATTACAATCACACAATTAATTTATCGGTATTAAATCTCATCTCTCGAATCTTGACTTAACCATTTATAAATTAACTTGCCTATTGAAACTAGACCTAAACATTAATTCTCATCTCTCGATTCTTGAATCAATATTGTCAAACTCATGCATAAAAGATAGGCCTAATCTAGTCACAGAGCATTAATCCAATAAATAGGAAATTAATCTAGCATCGATAATCAACAACAATAATTTACCCCTTCATATTATTTATTAGATCCCCATAAACCCTAGAAATTAAACTACTCATACATAATAAAAACTAAACTAATCAAAATAATAGAATAAAT